GCTGTAACATTTACATAAACCTGAGGAGGAAACACAAGCATGTGCCTGATCATTATGGCTAGTTTAGCAAAACAAAGCTAAGCAAAATAAATCTTGCATTGCAACTTGCTCATCTGATAGGATGGCAGAATGCCTACGTGATGCTCCTCTGGGTTCTGTTCCACTCCTTGTACCAAATGACAGTCCTTAAAGCTGAACTTAGTTGCGATTAAAGGCACTGACTCCTCTGATTCACTCATATGAGCTGTAAGTTAACCTCTCAGTGGTAAGTAGTGCTTTTTTCCACGTAGCCTTTTACAAGAGAGATGAATTTTTTTGCATGTTTTTGTTTTAGAGGGGAAGAAGGCAAGTGGGAAGAGCTAAACTAAATTAAATACACGACAGATCTCACATATTAGTGCCATTTAAGCAGGTCCTTTCATACTTTAGCTTAGTTCTATGTAGCATTATGTATTTTGAAGATGTTTTTTTCATTTCTGTGGGCTGCCAGATGTACTGCTGATACCTTCTGATCTTAGATAATTTGACATTGATTTTCCTAGCACACGTCAGGGTTGAAATCTGGTCTGTAACTCGTCCAAATGATCTATTCATAACAGAAAGTGCCTTCTGGCAGTTGCACCACAGCTGAATATTGTTAAACTGAATTCATCATTTCATTTGTTTCTGATTGCTCTATAATGTTTACATATCTTACATATTAGTATGATCTTTTATAAAGCACACACTGAGGTTAGATCCTCCCAGACAGAACTTTTCTCTCCTTCCTCTCCCTTTCAGAAGGTGTTGAACTCTTTCTCCCTTCAGATGAGCAGGAATCTTGGAAGTGCTTAATGCTCATCTGAAATTATGGGCTTAGCACGTAGGACTGTGTGTGCTGGGGAGACATGGGAAGGTGACATTTTCCTGCACAAAAGGAACCTTCCCCCTCCACATAGAATAACTATGAGGTGGAATTGCTTGTCTGAGTGGAATACTTCTGTAAGTAACTATCAATCATCACATGGCAATAGTCTCCCTGTGAATACGTTCAACTGAAACATTTGTAGACACTGCTTATGACTGAATGAGTGAATAGGCTCAGATTCTTCTCATCGCCCCTTTTCAAACTCCTGATGCAATCACTGGTGTGCAGAGATCATTCTAACGTCTAGCAGAGGATATCCTCTCGGTGTTTCAGTTTCACTGTATGTACAAAAAATAAACATTAATATGTCTCACAATAGGATTGTGTCACGGGATGAATTTAAGTTAAATAGAAGGCAGAATATCGGAGGCTCCCTTTGAATTCGGATTTTAACTTTCAAAGAAGGATGACATCTCTTGTTTGCTTTAAAAATAAGAATCAATTGCCCATAAATCTAAACCAGATGTTGTTTTTCTATGAAAAAGATTAAGGATTTTCTTAAGCTCATTAAAGGGAAAAAAAGTAATGACAACACATTGATCCTCCTATGTCATCATAAGAATGTCTGAAGGCAGTGGAAAGCTATGAAAACAACCTGGGATCAGTGTAACAAAGTGAGCTCTAAGTCTGGCAAATTGTGCTTGTCTTCTGGGTTCTGCGGCAAACTTTGCACTCTTTCTCCAGCCTTACGCTTATGTCTAGTCTTGTGTTTTAGTGGGATGGGGTGGTATGTGTACTCAAACACAAGTTAGACTTTTTCTTGTGAAAATACTGATGCCAGCTGCTGCATGCCTTGAAAAACTGAGGCATCATCCAAATATTTCAAGGAGGGGAAATGGAAACCATTTGCTATTTCTTATGTATGTATCTATGGAAGAACGTTCATGCTGTTGCTTCTCAGAGCTTGTGTGTCTGTTTTGGGGAGTGTGTTATTTCCTGATTTTCTCACTTTCCATGTGCATCAAAACCCAGAGTCTGAAAAACGTGACTTAAACTCTCTGAGTGGAAGGAGACTGATGCCGTATCCAGTATCACTAAAGCCCAGTGTTACAGCAAGTGTTGCTTATTCCAGTTGAAAGTTTCCACAACAGAAAAAACCATGATAACCTAGTACCCCACTGACTATATTCATCAATGTGGCAGTATGCAGCTCCCTCGTTTGCTCTGTTTATGGGTTGAAAGTTTGCTGGGATGTGTACAAATGATAGTTCACTAGTAAGATGATAGGAAACTCTCAGTATAATTTGAGAAGAGGCAGCTGGGAAATATTCTGTCCTGGTACATTCCTGTGGGTGTCCAAAATACTAGGCCAGAAGTACTGGCTCTGGGGAGAGGTTTGGTCTTTTAAGCAATCTAATCCTTTTGGTGCTATCAGATCTATAGAACAATTTGGTAAATTGTGGACTAAAGATAGAAGAAAGGGGGTTTTTGTGTTTGTTTGTTTGTTTTAAACTGCAGTTCTTGATGCCTAGAACTTCCCCTGATTTCACAAAGCATCTTTGTGCCTTTAAGATCCTTAGACTGTTTGGTTTCTTCAGACTATACGATGTTAGATTTTAAGCTTGATACATCTGATGTACCTAGAGTCTTCCTTCAGAAAACACGGGAGACTACTGCAAAGTTTGCTGCATCAAAAATACTTTGAGACGGGACTTCAAAAACCCAGGTCCTTTCTGTCCTAAACGTTCCTCCCCACCTACAGAGACACATGGTGTGTCCACAGCGGTGGAATGGGAATGAGATGGGACATTTGGGTTCTCAACACGCTTCCATCACTAGTTGGGAGCAGATATTAACTGGGAATTTTGACCGTATTCTGTGTTCTTTGCAAGGTCAGCAATGTGGAATTAGTCTAAAACTCAGGTTATTTTAGGACTTGCTTTCTGTTGCACTCCATTTTGTTATTGCAATTGTAAAAGAAAGCTTGCCCCATAGAGGTGTTGAAAACTCAAAGCTGTAATAATTTGTAGTTTTAAGAGAAAACAAAACAAAACCAAATGTCTTTGCAATGTTTTTGACGTAGCTTCGTCCACTTGGAGTCGTAAATGCCTTTTTAAATTCAGTGCAGCTATTCTTGCTCTTTAATGGGTTTTGTCAGCCAAGATCTTACGCAGACACACAGGCACATGTGCGCGCATGCATCTTTAGTGAGAGTAAGTCAGCGCGGTAGAACTGGTAGAGGAGAGCTGAGCAAGACACTTGTATTTATTAGATGTGCTCCTAAGAGAAATGAGGATTGTTTGACACTGTAGTGGTGTATTTTGAGAAGCCAGCTTGTGTTGTTTTGCTTTCCTACTTAACTTCATGACAAAAATCAGCTGTCATGTCAGTTTATGGCTTGAGCAGACTATTGTTTGTGCAGCAACCTCCCTGCTGCTGTATTTACTAAACATGTGTGATGCACAGTAAACTGCATCTTGGAGCATATTTCCTAGTTGCTAGCAAAAAACTGTCTTTAAAGCTTGGCCTGTTTAAATCTAGGGACAATGTGCATTGAGTTTAACAGGAACAGGCCTGAATTTTTAATTATTCCTCCTCAGACTATTTTGATGTGAAGTCCGGGCCTTAGAGAAATCAATAGCAAACATTAAGCATCCTTCAATGGATCTAGAATTTTGCTAATGAAGAGCGAGGTTTAAGTACATAATAACATTGTCCCATTGACTAAAACCTCCCTTTTTTTGCTGTTCCAGTATTGCAAACACACAGACTTATTTTGTTAGTGGATTCTCTCACTTCCTCCTCTTGGAGTGCTTCCCACCTTCTAGAGAACAACAGTTGCAGATTTAGCCATCCCATTAACATGGACTGGAGGGAAGTGCATTCCTGCTTCATGGGATGATGTAGGACTGCATTGCTGTTCTCTTTTCCCAGTGAAATGGCTGTGTGTACTTCAAATATATATACCTCTGTTGGTCCTGGAAGAGAAAACATGAATCTTGCTTCCAAGAATGGCAGGTACCCTGCCAGGGGATGGGTAACTTCTGTTCAAGCAGTCTTTGTAGCAAGTGCTAGGACCCAGGTTCCACTGCCCTCTGTGTGCTGCACCTTCCTTGGTAGACTAGATAGCACACCTCCTTAGGCTTTCTTTCTGAACCAGAAAGAATGTCTAGAAAGCCTTTATGGAAAGTGGAACAGCTTTATAAGAGGAAGGAAAATGCCTTCCACCGTTATAAATTGGTAATTTGCATCTTCTGAAGGAGAGAAAGGAAATGAACCAGTGTCTCCCACCTCCTGAGTGGTCTGACCACTAGAATATTGCACAGGAGCAGGATATCACTGTGTATGTGTTTGGTATATTTGATGCAAGTGGTACAATACAGTCATGTTCAGCCTCTGGAAGATAGAGCTTAGATATCTGCTTTGATGGAGAGGCTCAATAGAAGGAGTGGTTTGTGTAAAGCTAAGCCTAAGTAAGGGCAGAATGTCATGTTTATCCAGGCAAATGTTTCCTCGTGGCTAACACAAGCAAATCCCCTTTCACACAGGCCAGGTTTGCCACCCAAGGCTCCTAGCCCTCCCGGTGGTGCCATGTGAACACTGGAGCTTGGGTTTCACCACAAGCCTCAGGAGTTGATGGTGGATCGTGGGGACCTCACTGTCCTCTGTCTGCAGGATCCCCTCTGAAAACATACAGGAGGAGTGCTCTGTTAACACCAGTTCCTGATTGCACTGGCTGTATTTCCTAGTGGCAGTCAAGCAGAGTGTTGTATCCAACTGTTCATTCTAGGTGTTTTTCTGCAGAATCGAAGCGGTTTCTCTCTCCCTGTAAAACATTGCTCCTGTTCCTGGTATTTCTTACTTTCTGCATGACCAGACCCAGCTATTCTGTAAATGGAAGTGAGGGGGGGAAGCTGTGCAATCAGTACCTGCAGTGTCATACCTAAATATGGTGCAAATAGGGACATATTTCTCCACATGCTCTTTAGAGTATCTCTACCTATAGATCTCCACTCATGTTGGAGTTTCACTCCAGTGGAGGAGGAGCAGGAATCCTTTTCAGTATTGGACTCTGAGAGCTTCCAAACATCAGTTGTGAAGTACCTATTTGACAAGTACTTTGATTCACTTGAGCTTTCTCTTCCTTTTCCAGGTCAGTGAAACACCCATTTTTGTGCCTGGTGTCTGGGGACCTTATTTCTCTGCCATGGTACCTGGACTGTGGTTGAATGAGGGAGGCCAAAGTGCTACAGGCAAGCTGGTGAGTGTTTGGAGAGGCAAACAGACTCCAAGATGGGAGGTCTTGTGTAACTGCTCTCATTCAGAATAGTTGCACAGTCAATTCAGGCAGATCTCTGCCTGAAAAACCTCTGTAAGATTACAGGAAATAACATGCTGCTGAAAGCAATAAACAATTAGTTGATTGTTATCTCTCTCACAAACTGATAGGGGATTATATATGGGGCAGAGCACTAACGGCATGTCATTTTGTGATGATTATTGTGATTACTTTCAGGCAAATAAGCATTCATTCTTTATTTCAGCAGGAGGTTGAGATAGACTTTGAGATAAAGAAAATTATACCTGTTGTGTTATATAGAACAATTTGCCCATTGATGAGAATAAATGAGAGGCGTATTGTATGGGCACAGTAGTAATAGATTAGTGTGTTACCCTGTCTAGATACTGCATATATTGTTGCTTCAATTCTTTCCTTGGGTACAAAGTGTCTAACTATGTTAGGTTAATTTAATTTATCAATAAAAACTTGACTAGATTCTCTAAAAGTGAATTTTTTCATTTACAGGGAGTCAGTCAGAACTAAACCACTGATTTCAAAATGAAAGACAAGCTACATGTATAGAGCAGCATTCAGGCTTCAGTCCAAAACTGTCAGCAGGACCTTAGTGGCTGCTTAAACCCTGGAAGCTTCTCAAGCTCCTGGTGTGTCTGCTCAGTCTGCAGAAATACTGACTGCCCTTAGGGGTGAGCTGCCAGGGTCCTCTTGAGAAACTCCAGGAGGTGGGTGCAGTCCTGTGGGCATCCCCTCACCAAACACACAGCTGGGTTGGGTCTTTCACAGATTGCTGGTGTAATTGCTCTCTTACTCACACCTAGCACCACCCACCCTTTGAAAAGCCTTGTGATCCAGGAAGTAGTAGATTGGGCCATCACTGCATTTATACATTCCAGATTGAACAGTCACTGAATGAGAAACAGAAATAATCCTGGATCGGGAAGCCCCAACAACACCCTAAGTGCTATGAATTGGTGTTCCCTCCTGTGCTCTCTCCTTGGCCATGTGAATCTGACATTCCTGTCTGTGCAGTGTCAGAGCTTCAGTGGCAGAGTCATCCCTCTTCCCCTCCTGCAGCCTCCAATTCCCATCCCATCTCCGACCCATCCTTAGCTAAATGGTTAAACCGCTCTTGCAGCAAGTGGGATGTGTGTGCTTTAAATTTTTCAGGTTGAGATGGGGCTAGAACCCAAGTTTCTCATTTTAGAGGTAACCGCTACAACCAGGAGTAGAATGAAATCACTGCTTATGACACCACTACTTTAAATGGAAAATGGCAAATCTTGTGCACTTCTTTGTAAGAACACGTTTGAGAGGAGAAGTCTCTTTGTGCTTAATCCAAAGCAGGTAGAGACACTTAACAAAGCTCTAGAGAGGATACAGTAAGTCAGCATTTTTTCTTGGCTGGCTCAGGGTGATTCCACATTTAAAACATACCGAGGAGAGTGAGGACCTTTCAGAAAGGTGATTTAAAAAATCCTTTCCATTCTAGTAGCAGAGAACAAAGACGTTCCTGAGTCATTAAAGAAACTGCTGGAAAAAAAATGTATGGTCTTGTTAGGACCCATAGCAAGTGAGCTTGAGTCCTGCTCGGTGTATTAGGGAAGCTGGCTTGTTAAAACATTCTTACAATGTCTCATGTGGTTTTCTGGGGGTTGTATGTACAGAAGACACATAGGGAGCTGTAAGGAGAAGCAGAGTATATGCAATGCGTGGAGGATAGATTGCATTCAGTATCTTTGTAATTGTAAAGCTGTCTTTAGGATCCTGCTTTCTCATACTTCAGGTTTTCTGAAAACAAGGAAAAAAAGGACATGTTTTGTGATTCTTTTCTTTGCTTGATCTTTGCCCAGAGGTGAATTCTTCTCATGAAATTCGAAGAGTCTGTTGAACTTGTTAAACGTAAACCCGATACACTTCCCTTTCCAAATCTCTAATTAATTTTTCTATTGATACAGCTGTGAAAAAGTCTGCTGGGTTTTGAAAACTGGTTCAGCTGGAGTCCAAATGAAGAATTAAGAACACTTGCTTTAAAAAAGCGGGTTGGTTTGTGTGTAACATGGGCTTTTGCACTGAATTTTCAAACCTGATAGGAAGAAAGGTACTGCACAACAGACACAAAGGGTGGCGTGTCATCATTACAGACCGTAAAACAAAGACTAGCAGAAAAGGGGTTCTAGATGCAACCCTCATGGGGCCATGTCTTGAATTAAGGGCATTTAGATATCTCACTTCCTAACTTCTGTAACGTTTTTGTGTGTTTTCATAGCACACATGTATATATGATATTTATTTATAGATCTAGTTCTGAATTTACGAGCTGCTCCTGTGTTCTAAAGGAGTTATGCAAGAGTGCAAAGCTCAGACCTGAGCACGTTTGACTTGTGTCTTTGGTGCAAATCTCAGCCAGAACAGGCATGCGTTATTTTCATTGCTGTGCTCAGATGTTATGCTTCATTATAAGTTTTCCTGCACTGGTTAAGGACTAGACTCATGCTGTTAAAATTAAATACCTCATGTGGATTCCTGCCAACAGGTATTGCCCAATATACACAGTGCCCTTGAGTAGCTCTAGTTTAGCCTCCTTAGCTTTTGCTGTCACTTCTGATGGATATTATCAAGAGGCCACAAAACTTGCTGAATTATTGTCTTAAAAGCCCATGTTATTCTACATTTTCCTTTGTTTTGTGAGTAATGGTGGCCACTCTGAAGTGAAAGGACAAGCTGATTTATAAATTTAGTCTAGGATAGAGCCTATATTGATCCTTTTTTATAGCAACAATTGCTTGTCAGGGTATACGTTTTGTTTCCTGCAACGAACACATGAGCATCTGTCGGGATGACAACACACCCGGTGATTTATTATAATATATAGAAAGATGTAGGGATTTGGGCCAAGAAGATGTTCCTGGTAGAATTCCAATGAGGGTATGCATACAGGAGAATGGGAGAAGCTGGACAACATGACTTCAGGTGGTGTTGGCCAGGAAAAAAGTCATCCTTTCAGCTTGCCCTTCCAACTGAGGAGCTGCATGATTAGCATTCTGCCTATTTTTGGTGTACAGTTGATTGTTTTTCCTTCCTGCTTTTAAGCCAAATCCTGCATCCAGTAATGTCAATGGGAGTCCTGCCATTGGCTTCACTAGGACTTAACACCTCATGAGTAATTTAGAAGCTGTCTTGTCTTTTTAAAGCAATGACACTGCATTACCCTTTTCCGGGACTGAAGCTTGAAGATGTAACCATCCCCAAAATGTTGCTTTGCTCTTTTTCAGATAGATCATGTGGTCCGAGGCCATGTCGCCTTCCCGGAATTACAGGCAAAAGCTGCAGCCAGGTCACTCTTCTTATTCCTTTATCTCATACCTGCCTTACAAATTGATGATACAGTGTATTCCCAGCAGTGCCGAACTGCACTGTTGTATCCCTATTCTGAAACAAGGGAATTAACAGGCTGATAGCGGGTTGGAAGTATTTACAAAGGCTTGCCAGGAGATTGCTCAAAGATGAAAGCTTTAAACTCCCTTCAGATACTTTTGGCATATCTAAATGGTGATATTAACTTTCTGCTTTGTGACTTCTTTTATATCCAGCCCATTTCTTGATACCGTAGCAAGTATGTTCAGCAGACCTTTTTGCCTTAGGCTAATGATGTGTCTTAATTTGTAGGTGACCCTGTTAAGCTTCAAGGATGCGATATAGCTTAATTAGGAATATATTATTCAGTCTTTTGGAGCAGACATCTAAAGGAAGGTAGAGCCATTGTATGGAAAACTGCATGGCAGCTCAAATAGAGCAGAGAAAATCAGGATGAATTTCAGACAAAACTTGGGATGTAGGAGTGAACTGGAGGTAATTCCAGGATTCCTTGAGCGGGAGGCTGTACGGTGTGGAATTTAGTTTGGTCTGCTTTAGAAGTGGATGAAGACAGTCCAGACACTTCTGTCAGATCTGGATTTTCTCAAGCTTTTTTCTGGCTTGGATTCCTTTAAGATGGTTCATGTCACTCCCATAGAGACCTTAGCTGAACACTTGGCAGATTGGGTGAAAATTTGATTCTCTTTTAATTTCTTTTTCCTCCTTAGACTAAAGAAAAACCCAGCAAATTCAGCAGTTTATCTTCAGTTTGTCACTGATCTAAAAGGCATGGGTCAGTCCTGATAGATGTATCAAGTGCATGCAGTTATACAGGGATTTTCAGTCCTCCCTGTGGGGGATAAAGCTACCTGGTTTCTCTGGATGACCCTTCCTTTGTAGTGCCCAGTGCCTTATTTGTTTGTTAACAACTTGACCAGCATTCCCAGAAGTGTATTGGACTTCATTCAATCTGAAATAAGATTCATGCTTCCTAGAATTCTCTTTATTGTTCTTTAAAAAAGGAAATCAGGAAATAAATACATCTGCGTATGTTTGGAATGAGGATTGATCTGGGGGCTTGTTTTGGTTGGGTTTTTTTCCAAACTTCTGGCTTCCAGGCCATTTTTCCAGTGCCCACATATGAAGACAAACAATTAGTTTAGTCTGTAAAGCCAGGATAAACCACGTCTTTTGTGTGTTGGAAAACAGTATAGAGTAGCCAGCTTGTCTATATTAGGTCTAATACTAAACTGACCACAGCTCATAGTGCAAAAAAGCTTGGATTGTGATGGGAACAGGACATTAAATACAGAATATGGGGAGCAGATCTTCATTTTATGCAAGTGTACAGTGTTACAACTTTGGATTTGGTTCTCCTGTGGTTAGTACAACTGCAAAGGATACAATTGATCAAAAGGTTTCTAGTATTTTACAAAAAGGATGATAATATTTTATAAAGTTAATTTGCTCACTGGTATTTGTATGTTTTCCAGCTATTACTCTCCTAATGAAATGTTTGGATAGCTGTAAATTTAGTAAGCAAGTTTCTTCTCAATTTCCCCTGTTCTCTTTCTTCCTGTTCTTCACTAATATTGATTAAATTGATAAAGAACTTAATTTGAACACACACAAATCAGGAACTTCATGATTTAAATGGAATTTTTCTCCATATTTCTTCATTTCTTTCTAATCATGGAGCACAAACTTCAGCCTCACTGCAGGGATTAGCAGCAGTAGCTATGTAAGTGAACAGTGTTAGCCCAGCCTTTGGAGTATGTATTTACTTACATTAAGTGATATACTTAATAAGAACATTGTGTCCTGCTTTGGGGGATTGTTAGTGATGATGATAAATTACTTGCCTGGGAATCTCAGCAGAGTATTTCAGAGAATCAGGTTTTATATTTAGTGTATTCTCTGTGTGGGTGTAGGAATTTGTGTCTTCTGTTCAGCCATTGCAAATGGTCATCAAAAGAGAGCAGAATGAGAATTTCATACTTACATGTGCAGCTGTGTATTACCTTCACATCCCATGCGAGGTGCAACACTGTGAAGAGTTAAGCTGCTTTTGTAGTGACAAAAAGCACATGCATGTCTGGATCGCTAAAGGCTGAGGTCACAAATCCATGCCTCTTCCTTTGCTGCTGCCTGTCACCTACTTCTACCTTCTGAAACCTTTCTTTCCTTTTTCCCAGACTCCCAATGCTGCTAATAAGTAGGTTTGGGAATGGCAAACTGCCTGCTGAGCAGCTGATCCCAGAAGCTCCACTGAGCAGGCTTCTGGTCCTTTGCCTACACCAGAAGCAAGAGTTTGCAAGCTGCATTTATCGCTGTTCCAGTAGTGTGTGGTAACTTGTCAGGGCACGAGCAGCTTAGAAAGACTTGCCAGAAACCAGCTCCTACTGACCACTTGTGTTGAAGACCAGCCTTGTGCAGCCCTCCCAGTGCTATTCCTATGTTCTCTCTTCCCTTCTTTTACTGGAAGTGGAGAGGGTTGAATTACATGTGGATTTTCTGGACAGCTGTAGATTTAGCGTTTGGTCTAAGTAATTGGTATACTCTGACCAACAAAACTTGTTTTGTTCCCTTGCAATCCAGTGAGTTGCAGAAATTGCTGCGTGTTTAAGGACTTTTGCTCTTCAATCTATATATTGTGTAGGTCTGACATCCAGCCAGCGCTAGAATGTTGCATCCTGTACAGCCAGGCTAAAGTAGGAAATGAAGAAATAATATGATCATTTCTGCTTTAAACTTTAAATCCTTCTGTTTCCTAGAATCACAGTTTTTAATCTTCTGGAGGAAAAAAGTGTCTGACAGCAAAGACTGTATGCCCTTCGGCACTTTGTGAAGCAAAGGCAGGATTTCCTTTCCTACACTTCTTGATGTCATTTCCCCATCTTAAAGAGATGTCTCCTGAGTAAAGCATTGAGGTTAGACACACGGTATCAGATCAACAAGATATCATAAAGATCTGGGGTCTTTCAAGCAGAATATAACAGTCATATTTGGCAGTTCTCTGTACCTCTAGATGTTTTAGAGCCCTTTTTTAGCTTTAGAAATCTAATATTTTTGGGTTTGCTTTTTCCTGAAAGACACCTGCTGGCATCTTCCAGAATTCCTAAACATTCAGTACCAACCTCTTGTTGCTTTCTGCAGTTATGTCCCACATATGAACAAAACCCTGGACAAACTTGCATTCATCTCTTATTCTCCACTCTCCACATAGTTCCTTTTTAGTAGCAATAGCTTGTGCTCAGCTCTGCAAGTCAGATCCAGCTGCTACTGATACCTTCTCCTAGGACTGAATAGAAGAAGCTCCAGAGAGCTGATTGTATAATATTATGTATAACACAAACACAGTAGAAACTGGAACTGGAGAGTGTTTGAAGGCTTTTACCAGTCACTCAGTCCAAACGTAGTGCTCTGAACCCATATCTATATGTAGAGGGCAGTAAAAAGGTGTGAAAAGTATAATTCCAAGATTATGTGAGTTTTAAGCCTACTTGGCTGAACTTCAGCCTCTTTTGTAGAGCCCTTGTGTTTTGCCAGAGCTGCGTGAATGGCTAATCCTCGCGAGGGTAATCAAGCAGGATGGCGATCAGATAGAAGCTGGGATGCCTGGTGGGTCTGTGGTTGAGCAAAGCTCTCCTTTCTTTTCCTCCCTATAGTCAAGGCATGGTTTAGACTGGAAACAAAATGACTTTGTCCTCAGCATGCACTGCTCATAGTGCCGTCCTTAGGGATGTAGAAAACAGGGCCACTTTACAACAAGCAGGGAAAAATGATTGTGACCTACAAAATTATCATAATTCAGGTCCAGGAAGACACATAAAGTACATTTTAAAGTACGTGAATAATGATGTAAATTAGTTATTTTAACGTCTTCCAAGTGTACTTCATTTTGAATGATATCCTCTGATAGCGTACACATGGTAAGGTATAATTGAAAAAACATGCAGCTCAATGCTTGAATGCAAAGTATAAATATACAGCTGCTAGCAGGTCAGAAGTCAAACTAGTAAAGCATATGCCAAATTCCCTTAGGGATCTCATTAGTGCATGATTGAATATACATGTAGAGGCTAAATGAATATCACTGTTTGGGTCTACAGTGGATGAGACAATGACTAATCAATTGTAATTAGGGTTAGATGCTCTTATTGACCCACATGGCTAGAATTAAATGCCCCTCTTGGAGATTTCCAAGGAGTTGAAAAATATATAGGAATCTGTTTATGATAGTAGGAGGGTTTGGAAAAATATTCTGAGCATAATTGCAACATTTTTTAAATGGAATGTCACTGGAGTCACTGCAAGCCAAAGCACTGAAGAATTCACCATTAATCCTAAGATTACTCTGGGTCCAGGAAAAAGTCTGTTGGATATTGTGGCGTTGGGTGTAGCATCTGCACTTAGATACAATCATATTTAGGCCCATGTTCGGCTCCTCCCTAAAATAGCAGCCACTTGCTTTCTGTCCTCCACCCTTAGTGCTGCATTTTAATCATAACACACACTGAAATGATTATGGTTTAAAAAAGGAAAGTTCTAAGTCCAGTGCTATCGATTAATCAGAGCAATTCCTAAACATTTGCAAAGGAATTTGATTTTCATTTTTCGTTTTCATCATTCCATGTCTGGGATCCTCCTGACTACTCTCTCTCAGCTTTCTCTTTCACAGTGTCAGCATCTGTTGAAGACAAGCATCACCAGCCCCCAAAATATCAGACAGCTCTGGCTCATCTAGTGACCTGTAGGAGTCAATGTACACGCTCAGGATCGCAAACTGCCATTATCTCCCCTCATCCTGAGAAACCAAGGAATTGGGATGGCCTGTTGAAGGGATTTGTGGATAGACATCCCCTCTGCCCACACTCTGCGGTGCCATGGGCTCCATAAGCCGTTTGTTCTGCCTTTCCCCCTTTTTGTTTTAGATCTGGGGTTTGCCATTCTTTGATGGGGTTTCTGCATTTGATGGTGGTACCAATGCTTTATGTTTGATGAATAACCTTCCCCATTCTTTTCCAACTTTTTTTTTCTTCCAGTGCTCACAGTATATATACATACTTGAACAGTCACCTGGATCTGATTAAGAAATCTTTGCCTGTGGGTTTCCTCACTGTTGATTTACATGTTTGGCCAGATTTCCATGGCAACAGATCTCCCTTAACAGATCTGACACTAAAGGGCATGGTAAGAAACAGCTTGTCTTTGCAAAAGGGTCAATACTGGGGGAAAAAGGGGGAAAAAAAGTTTGGAAGGCGCATACTCCTCCTTTAGCTATTTAAACTATCCCATAGGATTTGGGTTTCTCTCTGCATTTCTGATGTTTCAGTAGAAAATCGTAGATCCTTGTAGCTGAGATATCACTACAGCCACATTTCTTTTCTAACAATATAAGGAGTGTTGTGTGTGTCTCTGTATCTTTCCTAGGAATCACATTTCAGAGCACTGACTAGCAGCGTTGCTGTTGTTAATTCACCTGCCTCCTGCATTTTGCAATGAATTTGTCTATCTGGAAAAGGAATGAAATATTCTAAGGAGAGATTGCTTGATTTAAACACAAAGATTCTGTAAATGTGCTGTATTAGAGTTGTTGGGGAGTAAATTTCAACAGACACTGAGAAACTCCTGCTTATTGTTAACAATGGGCATAGATGCTCTTGTGATGGGAAATACGCAACTGCGGTGCTTCATGCATCTTTGTTCAGAGGTAAACCTGATCTGGTTCTGAGTTGTGTTTTAAGTTTGAAACTTGCTGCTTGTGGAACTGAAAGGGACTGACATACTGTGTTCTGTGCAAAGACATTTTCAGAGCATTGCGGTCGGGGGCCAGAAAGAGCAGCCTTTGGAAGCTCACCAGAGAATCTCTGCTGGGGAGATTTTTAGCCCCTCTTGAGATGCTGGCTGTTTCTCTTCACTGAGCTTCACGGTGGTCGATGGGGCAGGTTACAAGCCAGGATGTTACTGTGCAGAACTCTCACAGGAGAATATCATAAGGGTGTAATTTGATGATATTAAAATAGCTGGTGATTAATGAAAACATGTACTCCAAAATGGCATATTGTCCTTGAAGTAAGCATCTCGAGCGACTCACCAGCACCAAAACCTGCTGTATTGGAGGCTGAGCTAGGAAAAGGGTAGGTGTAAGAACTACAACACGTTTTGAATCATGAACAAGGGAAATACTAACAAAAACTGATGGTTTTTATATTTTGGGATCCTAATAATACCTGTATTATTTTATGAAAGAATTATATGCCACAGCAGGGTCAGAATTCCTTTGGTGTGATGGCTGTATGCAAATACTGGGAATAGCCACAATTTTTACTGCCGCTGTTATGGCTGCATTCAGATCTTGCCTATGCTGATACAAGTCCATAGTAACTACAGTGCACTATTGATTTATGTCAGAGTGAAGGAGGTTAAGAGACAGTCTTTAATTATTAATCGTGTTTCAGTGTTAGGGCGCTTGGAAGGGAGGGGGAGAAATGCTTTTAAAAAGTTATTTTTATGTAATAGCATTTTCGTATTATTACATTAAATAGGTTCACGAGCAATATCTGAGTCACGGCATAAACCTGTCAGAGTTAATCTGGCTCTAATCCCATACAATATGCTGTTTGTTCTTTATTTCTTTGCAAGAGCACGAACAATATATGTGGTTCTTCCCCAGATCAGGAATAACATGTTTAACATAACATTATGTGTACAGCTCACCAAAGTAAGGCTTAGAATTAGCACTTAAAACTTGTTACAACAAGAAACCATAGCAAATAACAGAGTTTTTACTTTGGCTGGATCTTTACATTTTCTCTTTGATCTTTGCACAGGTTGTTGGACTAACATTGTCTCAGGGTCTGGATGAACTTGCCCTTATCTACTTGGCCACGATTCAAGCCATTGCTGTAAGCCATTTGAAGTGCATAGAGGAATAAATGAATTGTCTCATGTTCTGTGGCAGACTGATCATTCCCTTCTGCTAAACAGATTTCTAATAATAGATGAATTCACTTAATGGACTTCTTAAAGGAGCAAGATGTTATTTACCCACATTGATGACTACTCCCAACTGTAGGATAATGTCCCCTAAAAAGTTTTCTTATGGCAGTTTTGTAAATGGAGCTTTTGCCTGTACTGCAGATGTGAGGGGAGAGGCTGGTACTGCATGGGGCAGGGTTATCATCATGGGCTGCTAGAGGGAATCTGAGAGAGGGGGGAAGAAATACCTTTGGTAATTGTATGAAGGAACTTGTGCTCCCATAAATGCCTCAGCTTCAGATTGTTCCCAAATCCATGGATTTCCCCTGCTCGCCTGTTAGATGAGTCACAACTCTGTACCACAGCGAGTCAGAGTGGGGCTGTGATTCAGTTCATAAGGCTACAGACCTAACACACCAAATCTCATTGCTCCCTGGTTTCCCTGCTGCAAGGTGGGCACATGTCTCCCATGCAGTGTTGCCAGCCTGTGGTGTGTTTCTGTAAAGGCAGACAAGGAGACGGTATGAAACGTCCTGGATTGAGACAAGGAGACTGTAGGAAATGTCCTGGATAACATGCAGAGATGGGTCATTTTATTGGAACATTTTTGTTTCTGCCCTAATTTTCTCTCAGACCCAGGATTTCCAGTTCACAAAAAGTTCTATTTGGAAGTGAAAACCTGGGTCAAAGAAGTTGTTTTGAAACCTGGCGCAGGGTATTTTCAGTGGGGCGTGCCATCCCCAGGGATTTGGTGACTGAAATCCACATTTCTTTGACATCCTTTTTGTGATTTCTTCTTTTTTTTTCCCTAAATCTGTAGAACTTGAGGTGTTTTTGCAGCCCACTGACAGTTTGATGAATTGGGGAGTTTTCCTGACAAAACTGTTCAGTTGGGAAACTTCCAAACTCCTCTACTGGTTAAACAACAACTTTGCTAGGCTGGGTCAGCCATCTGGGATAGAGAGGGTGGGCGGCTGCTGTAAATTCCCTGTGGATTGTACATCTTATGTGTTAACCCTCCCTCTTCAGCAAATAATTTCACCCCAGCCTGGAATTCATTGTTGTGAGTTTGGATCGTCGAAGACGAATGGGGCTTGGTTATACCTGATGCTTCAGTATAATCCCACCATTTCAATAAGAATGTCTAGGAGAGTTTAAACAATGCCAGGGACCGATACTGCCCCTGAAAGAAGCTTTCCAGTGTGGAACAGGTGCCTCCGTTATTGTATCGTGCTAACGAAGTGGAAACGTTCCCTGCTGGAAATCCTGGGAAAGTCACCTATTATCTCACTATATGATACAACTCTGATTTCGTTGTGAAACACAGCTACTCTGTTGAACCTATATTCAGCATCTTTTTAACAGCTGATTGTGCTGATGGTGAGATTTAATAGAAGAGGTTTTCTTTAAGTTAATGGAAGTTCATTTTTCCTAAAGCACTATTGAAACAGTAACTAAGAAGTAGACAGAGCGGGCTCAGGTTTGAGTCAGTACATTTGCTCATTGCTAATGTGATACCTGGGAAATTTCATTTTCCTCCTATACCCCATCACTCCCAAGTTTAGCTTCACTTTTGTGGATGGAAACAGTTCTAGTTCAGGACAGCCCCGATCCTGTACCATTAAATGTCTTCAATGGGTGCAAGATAACTTAAACCTAAGCAGGAGTGCTGTAAAAGGCTCAGGCCTGCCCACAGAATGTTAATCTCTGGTTTTCTTTTCAGCAGGAGAAGCTTTTTTTCTTTTTATATAACATTTGCATTTGAAGCCCCTCAATTTGCATTTTCTCCAATCCAGGATTAAATGAGTTCCCCCCCGCCCCAAGTGAAATAAGTCTGGCTTTAATTTAACTTGCGATGTGAATACAATTTTCCAGGCAGGTAAACACAAAATCATTTTCACAGCGTGTTCTTTCTAAGGGTCTCTGACGTGTGTGTGTTGGGAGAGAAGTTGTTAATAAATTTGAATTTCAGAAGCAGGGGAAGAGAATATCCTTTTAACCATTCATTGCCAAACGCGATGCAACAGTTAAGACGGACGAGAACACGATCAGAGATATAATTGTGCCTGTCAGGCCCATTCGGAGGAGACGGGCTCTTTTTGGAGCAGTTTATTTTTCCATAATTAAAATGGTGGCTGTGTGATTTGGAAATTAGCCTGCTGTGTCCATAGGGAAGTGATGGATTTAGTCAGCTGCTATTGCGGCTGCTAAAGTTCCTCCTAACCGCTTGCCTGAGAAACCAAAACATATTTGAAGGCCTCTCCAGAATGGTGCCAGTCATTCATAGTGAATGTCTCCAGTCTGATGGAACTCTGCTTGTTTCAATTTCCAGTAGTTTTATTTGAAGAGGGGTTTATTGCAGGCTGCAGACCTTGTAATGAACCTGCAGCGTAGCATACAGAAAACCTAGGTGACAGTTGGTGAAGACTTTGAGCAGATCATGTTTTGTAGGGAACCTCCATACGAAGAGTCAGCCTGGGCAAAGTTTTGGCTGGAATTTGGTGTGTTGTCAAGTCTGAGCTTCAGAATTAACTTCCAAGGTACTCTAAAGAGCTGGGAATCAGTTTTGGACAAACAGTTTGTCAAAGAAACGGAAAATGTTCTTGCAAGAGGAAAGGGGGAGAAGGTTGACTTGGGTGAGTAGTTGGAGGCGAGCAAAGCAAACAGAAAGAGGAAAGATTGGTTTAAAATGGTGAAGCATTTGCTTTCATCATTCACAGAGCGGAACACGGAGCTGCTCTAATTTGGGTTTCTCAGAATGGGGACTGTAAATGAGAAGTTTAAAAATATGCCTGCATTTTAGATGTTTCAATTAATCCAGACATAAAATGGAACATTTTATTTTGCATAGGGCAAAGGCCAAGAGAAATAGTAAAGCCAAGACAAAATTCCTCAGGTTTTCCTTTTTTGCTGAAAAGACAGAAAATACAAGGTTTTATTTGTTCCTTTTTTTGTTCTGTTTTCTTATTTGGCCTCAGACTCAGAATCTCTTTACCGAAAGTTATTTTCAGATACTGTTATCCCAAGTAAATAGAAGGTTTTGGTGGGGATGTCTTTGCCAGGCAGGTTTTAGTTTTGGATCTGGAAATGTTTTCCCTACTCAGCTTTGCTTGGTCAAAACAGCTGCTTATCACTGCCATCAGTTCTTCCTTGTGCCTATTCCTCTGTCTTCTCATCATCCCTTCTCGTAATCCCTTATAAACCCAAAGGCTTCAGCTTTGTCAGTACTTCCCTGCAAGCCCCATTTCCCCGTGTTGCTGTGTACTTCTAAGTCTCCACTCCTTCAGCCAGCCCCAGGATGCTTGCTGCAATGTGCTATGCCCGTGTATTTCCCAGTTCTTTGTGCCATCCGTTTCATTTTTCTCCTTAATTTCAATGCCTGCTCCTGGCTGGAAGCTAGGCAGATTCCATAGCCTTGCAGTCCTGTTCCCAATCCCCTGGTTACTGGTAGGGGCAGTTAATAGTATCACTCCTTATAGCAAACTGAGCTTTAAGATCTGTTCCCGTGGCTGCTCTCCTGTGCTCATCTGGTTTCTTTTTGTGTTTTTTCCCCTTTTTGAAGTTAGGAACAAGACATATTTTGGAAACTATGCAGGCTGCAGGGCATCATATCAACACGCTGTTCCTGTGCGGTGGGCTGAGCAAGAACCCTCTCTTTGTGCAGATGCATGCTGACATTACTGGTAAGTTAGAGGGAGAGGAGTGTAAATCTATTTTAGGTGGCTAAATACTTTGTCTTTGGAAAAATAAAGACTCTCTTTATATAGAAGTGTATTTAGCTGGTGGGCAAGAAGTGTGCACTGAAATGTTTTTCACAACCAGATTTATAAAAGATAATCTGAAATTTTCTATAGAAATGATTCCATTCAGTCATATTTCAGGATTTTAGATGAGAATAATGCCCATTGCATTTTGTAAGCATGTTTTGCCTAAGTTGTGTTTTATTAAAGCCTCCATTAGCTTCATCCTATTTGAATTCTTTTGGAGTTCCAACAGTTCCTGCTCATGCTGGGCATTGTACCCATTCTGTAGAGCAATTCTTTTCCAGATTGCTTCCATGGCTGTATTATTAATAGGGGTTCGGCCACAATTCCTGGATTCTTGCTCCTGCATGGTGCTGCGTTTGGTTTTGCAGATAACTGATGGGTGGAAGGTCTGGGTATGCAGTTCATCACAAGAAGGCTCCGGCTTGGTCTCCCTTAAGCCTGTGTGTGTTGGACATCTCAGCACACCTGGGAGTCAGTTGAATATAGTTTTAAAAATGTGGAAAAAATAACAAAATTTAGTGTAAAGGGCTTCAAAGCAACTTTGAATGATGTGTGCTTCGGGTATGTGTCAAATTCAGACCACTTGAGCTGTCACGAATAAAGTTGAAGGCTCAGATTCGGAGCATTAGGGCTGGAGATTTGACTTGTCCTAACATCAAACCACACTTCATAACCTTGACGCAGGAGGGAAGATGAAAATATGCTTTATGTACTTACCTGAGATGAAAACGGAAATGGAGAAGCAAAAAGCATAATGCCTATTGACCTTAAATTTCACTAAATGCGTTGTGATCAAAGTGACACTTTGGGTTTGTGAAAAACAATGTTGTCGAGTCTGTGCCTTTCCCTGTGGAACTCGACCGGTTTAGGTGAATTTCGGCTACGTGTCAAGTTGGGATGCTGGTTCACCATGCGTGAAATAAAAGGTCTGTGAAAAGGTATTCTGATTAAAATGTAATCAGAAGTTCTTTGACTGTAACTAATGGCCAAGTACAATTCAGTACAAAAAGGCCTTTTTGCAGTCTGGAGTTCTCCCCCATTTGTAAAATCAGTGACTGACAAGGGATGTCAGAGTTCATCTAACTGAAATGCTCTTGGTTATGTTGAACTCATTAGAGCCTATCAGATAAAATAACTAACATTCCAGGATCAATCCCCCATTCTCTCCCCAAAAGAAAAAAATCTGAATATATTATTGTTAGCAGCAAATGCCCATGACTCAGCCATGCAGACATCCAATAGATCATTTCGCAGGGCACTTAAAAAGTATCTTGATCTTTTTGTTTGCCCGGTAAGAATTCGGTATTCATTCTGATGATGCAGGAAATGTGCAGCAAATTTTAGAGCACGCTGGAAATTGCTTACTGCCTCAATGCCTGGCAGCCAGCCACAGAGCTCTTAGCTTCAGTTTAAGGTTGTTCTCTTCCAAGCTGACCCAAGGCCTGAGCTGTGCTCTGTCTGAACTGGAGGAATGCTCAGGTGACTGATCCTCCACTCGTGTTTTTAAGGTGGATTTGTTTGGTCACAAAAATTGAAGGAGTGCTGTAATTCCACTAGTTCACTATTAATAGTCATTCCAGCAATCAAACAACAAGGTCTCTCCATATCAGCTTTCTTTCCCCATCACTTTGCCTGTGCTAACTGTAGGAAGAAAAGGCATGAAGACCTTTACAGCACCTTTATGTCCCTCACTGAAGAGCAGTTCTAAAGAGCTTTACACTGGTGGAACACTGCAAAGTTAGCATCATGTACCTGAATGCTTGGCGTGCAAAGTGAATATGCTTTTTATCAGTTTTTGTTTCTTTTATTAATTTTACTTCTCATTTTGAAAAGTGTGATGTGCCTTTTCCTCTGTAGAAGTTGCTTGTGGCCCACTTTTAGATCTTCCTCCAGATTTCAGCTCCTTCTAATCTTAGAGCTGGCTGTCAGGAGCAGCATTTTTAGGGGCATAATATCATTAAGGCTATTCACTCCCCCCGTCGCTGTGTTTACATCCTCATTCGCTGCATGAAATTATCTCTAATGGAAATTCAGACACATGCCAAACACTGGAGGAATGTTACATTTTTTGGCTTAGTGAGACTAAGCATCTAAAGTATTTAGACTTCTGCTATTGGTTTAGCTTTCTAAGGAGAATTATGAAAGTTCATTAAGAAAGAAATGATTTTTATTTGATTAGGCTTTTTCCTGCTGTTTTTACACCAGTAATACAGGGCTTAGAAAGCATTGTGTGAACCAAAGGGAAGTGTGTTCATAATAATACCCCTGGGCAATGAAACAGTAATTTTTAATGGTACTTCAGTATATATATTGAGTTTGTTTGTTTGTTTTCCCAGTGTTTTAATCTTGTTTTCCAGCACAATTTGGGAGACAAGATTTCTCTTCTTATTTCATACATAGCTTGTGAGAGTTCGCTCTTCGTATTTTCATGGCTTCCAGCAAAACCAGGCTGCCTTTCTTGGCTGTATATTTAGAAAACAAACAGAAACAATCTGGTTTTTTTTTGTTCCTTGCAAAAGAAACAAACAGAATACCACCCTGTTTTCCCCTCGAGCTCTGTTTTTAATAGGCACGTGGGTTTGGAGGGTGTGGGTAAACAGGTTTATACCAAGCCCTCTGAGATAAATAGCTAATGTCAAAGATCCAGGGGATTGTTCTTTGTATGCTTCATGTTCTGCATGAGTATTGTGCTGAAATTGCTTTATTTAAAGTCTGCATTTTTCTTGGATCCTGGAACCCCAGAGCAGAGGTTTACATTAATCTATATGGGCTGTAGCTCCAAATGGAGGATGTGAACGTGGTTTTCAAATCCTTTTGATTCCTTTTTTCTTTGTCTTTGCTTTAATTACTAACTGTGCTGTTAGTATATTACTGCTGTATTCTTCCTAACAGAGGCCTGGCTTTTTCTTATACAGGCAAGCCTGTTGTCCTGTCCAAAGAAGTGGAGTCTGTGTTGGTGGGTGCTGCTATTCTTGGAGCCTGTGCTTCTGGGGATTTTGCATCTATACAGGTATGCAATACCTGATTATTGCTTTTCCCCCCCTAGTTTTAGTGTGTTTTTCACTTTGACATTTGGCGCCATGCACAGACTTTAATTCAAGTGGAAAAGTTTGTACCTTCTGCACAGCCGGACAGGAGCCAACATCGCTTTCTTTCTACCCTCTTTTTAACTCTGTATGTTACTTAGGTGTGTTGAAGGTTCATTTGTCTTTTGACTGTAGGGACATGCAGGTAAAAGCTGCTGTGTATGAAGTTAGGCCATGCAGATTTACAGACAAAAAGGAAATTTGGCAGGGCTCTGATCCTGCAAGAAGGTCACACTTTCATCTTGGTTATATTTGTCCTACTTTCCTTTCTTCATGCTGAGGGATGGTAAACCTAAGAAACAACATAGCACTATTTATGCAGTAAAAAATGACACACCTATACTTCATCTTGTCCATAGTGAATGCAGAGTTAATAATGAGAATGGAACTTCATGTTTATTCATGTTATTTCAGTGCATTAACAGTTGCAAAAGTAGCAGTAAGGCTTTTATGTTTAGTGGATCAGCCAGAGCATGACTTAGCTGCATTTATATAAACAGCAATAGGATAGGCAAACCCAAGGAAGGGTCTGAATGCCCCAAATCCAATCTGTTTTCCCATCTAGTAATTCCACTAGAATGAGACGTGTCTTCTCCTCATGCTACACAGGGCACTAAACAGTACACAGAATTCAACTGGACACAGTTATTTGTCAGGATGGTCCCTGGATACAATTTTCTCTATAACACAGATACTTGTAGGTGAAATTGTGCACAAGACACTTATCTGAATGTATTTTCTGAACAGGGAGATCAGCTTCTCAACCTTGTTCACTTGGTGTGGTTCCACTGGAGTCAATGAACAGCTCAACAGTAGCTGAGGGACTGGGCCTTGTTTGACATTGTTCCAAATGGGAAATTTCCAAATGTGCATATTCTACAGTGCTGCTTAGGAAGTGCTGCAGGAAGAACAGTTTCCTTTCATGGGAATGTTGCCATTAAAATAAATCCCATTGCAACAAATATATAATGCAATATATGTATAGCTGTATTTAATAATTTTCCTGCTTGCAAGCAGAACTTGTTTTGATAAATGGAATTTCAGTAGCAACTTTTGATGACAGGACTTCATATTTAATTCTTACTCTCTGTTAATCTTCTGCCTTCAAATACAGAGTTATTTCATTCCAAGTTTAAAATGTTTTCCACTACTATGCAATAACTGAACATCTCAAACCTGATTTTATTGTCTGCCTTCACAGCCATTAGAAAAATCTAATGCTGTGACATCTTCTGTGATGTGCTTTTATAGAATTCTGGTGTGTTCATTCCCTTCAGTTTTTAACTCTGCCCTTCTATATAGCAGTGTTTCAGAAGCATATCCAACGATGTCAGAACAGATACGTATGTCTTATACATCCATACATATAAATATATGTCAGTCTGCATAGCACACTCAATCAGAAATCTTGTTTGGTGAAACCAGATCCTTTGAAACAGCCTTCTCACAAGCTTTTTGGTTTGAAAAGTGTTTGCCCTTTTACTGTTAAGATATGTCAGGATGTCCCTGCCTCTTTGGTTATCAGAATGGGGTTTGGTTGTCGTAAGTACAGGTTAGGAAGGTCTTCCTGGAGTAAACTTCCCCTAAGGGCTTACTTGTGACTATAGGGAGCTGGACTGCATGACTTTTTATACTCCCTTCTCATTCCTGATTGAATCAAGTAAGTTGATACCAGTACGTAAATAAAAAGAATAAGTACAAATTGCAATCCAGTGCCTCAGCACTCCATAAGGAGTCTGGTTTTCCAAATGCAGTCTCTGCCTTTTTCAGTGCTTCAGAAGCTATTTGTGCAAGGTCTGGTTCCAAAGGTTTTGCTAGTCAGCAGGAGAGTTTCCTTTTGTTTCACTGAGTTACAGGTCATGCTCATGGGCTTCCCTGGGATGTCTCTGAAACAGAACAGGGGGAAGTAGTCTGGAAACTACTGCTATTATACATCCCACTGGGCATTTGTAGCGTGTTTCTTTCCATCGTACTGCCTGTAGCGATCACTGGGAGCGAGATGAGGCCCTGAATCCTATCCAGGATGCCACAACACATCTGGCAGTGTGAAGAAACCACCCACTAAAGTGTTTTAGCTTAGTGTGTGTTCAGACGATTGTCGTTAGAGAGGTTCCCCCTTTGGCAATATCAGTTGTATCATACAGAAAATAGGTTAGATTATGTAAAAATAAAGAATTCAGCTACATGGAATCAAGAAAGTGAAGGCATGGCTTTTGGGGGTGGGGAGGCATAAATGCATCTGTAGCACTGCAGTTAATGGCCCTCTCCCATTTATTTTTCTGCTAACATATCCTCCAAACCAAACCTCTCTTTGAGGTGCTGCTGCAAGCATTCAGCATTGTTGTAGTCTTTGGAAATAATAGAGGTTATTACCTATCCTCTAATAGATGGTTTGTGCTTAATTATTGTGCCTTCCAAAGCTCTTTGTTTGCTCAGTCTAATAGTAAAGGAGAAAATTGTGGGGTTTTTTTACCAATAACCTCTTCCCTTATGTCTATGGTTGTTTGAAGGGCAATTTTTACTGCATTTGTCCCAGTGATTGGTCAGATTTCTCAGAATGGGTTTTGCTCATTTCTGCTCAATGTTAAAATCAAAATGCTTCAAAGCTGTCTGGTTTTCATGGGTTGGCTGATCTCCATTTTCTAAAACTCAAGCGTCTTTAAGACAGCTTGAAAATAGCACCCACAGCCAGGATCCCTCCAAATCCCTTTTGATAATCTTAGTCCAGCTTTTAACATGCTCTGCTGAAAGGACAAAGGGGCTGGTTGCTGAACAGACACGTGAAACCCACTGGTGAAAAGCAACAGCAGGTAGCTCAACTGCAAGGGAATCACATATGGAAGTAGGTGCATGTGTGCTATGTAGTAATGATGTGCACAGTGAGTGATGCTTCAGGGTGAGCTGGTCTACGTGCTAAATGTGATGCCTTGGGGAGGTAACATGAATTACATGGTAGAGTTGACCTGCTTGTGCATTCTGTCAGAGTAGGGGTTTGGGGCATGGGGCAACCAAGTCAGAGCCAATGTTCCAGTCTGCTCTTCATTCAGAAATTTGGGCACATGGACAAGGTCCTCAAAATCTACCAGGACATTGCTTTTCAATAGAGGAAGACCCAACTCTATGGGTCATGTAGGGAAGACTCAGCTCTATAGTAACCTTATATAATTAGAGTTAGGCTTTATTTAGCTTAACAGTTAAGAAATGCATTGGAATTGGATCACATTTCCTTAGGGGTAAAGTATGTGGCTGTGGGGATTGCTGTTACTCTCATACTGCTGTATTGTCCTGATGCTTAGTCCTGTGGCGTTCCATCACCAGGATTTGGCTTCTTACCTATATATTGTTGTATTATGGACCTCATCAGAAGTGTTTGTGAGACAACAGGATTCTCAGCCTTCACTTTCTTGGGCAGTTGGTCATAGTGGCTGGAACCAGTAAAGAGCTTTTCCTCCATTCTTTGGTATCCCTAAGTGAGTTTCTACTCACAAAGAAACAAGCACCAATATAGCTCCTGTCTTTTTTATCTTTCTGCACTACAGCAGTGACTGTTCACAGCATTTTGTTCTAATTCTTAATTTTTATATCTTGTTATTCATATTTCGAGTGATTCATGGAGCAAGGTTTTCATGCTTTCTATTGGCCACATCTGTATTAGTACCAAAATTCTCAAAGAAGCATTGGAAATGAAGGTTATGACAAAAAGGTACCAAAAACCTGGCTTTGGTACACACAGGTTAATTTTCAGGATTCTAGTGTGGGTTTAAAGGCTCAAGCCCCTTGAAGCTGCAATTTCATCTTTAGGTATTTCTATCAAGGAAAGATTTATACCCTCCATCTCTCATGCCTGGTCACCATATGTTGTTGCTTCAAAGAATGTTGACTTCCCTGTTTTCCTCTTCATTTACTCTCCCCCCATTTTTCTCCTCTGTGGTAAAACTGGATTAAAACAATTGCTCTATCCAAAAAGCAAAAAGAACGTTCAGTGCAGTGAGTTCATCTCCATTCCAACGTCTGGTTTAGTCTCTAGGATCAATGGAAAGGGGAGAAAGTCTGGATTTCTTCTTGCAGTTTGGGTTATCTTTTAATTTGCCTCTACAAATGTTGCACCTTTTAAGTGTATTTGTTGCATCTTCATTGCTATGCTGGTGAGTGTAACACAGCCTGGCTGGGTCACAGAAGACACTGCTCTCTAAAGCAGAATGCCATAAGGCTTTTTGAAATATATACTGTATTATAGGGATTTGGATTTTTGACATACATGCTGCAGAGAATGAAATCACCTTAACATTGCTGGCTTCGATGGGTCAATTGATTGGTTCTAGCCATTCCTTTCATGCTGAGCAGCAGGATCCTGGTTTTCCATGCGATTGTTTCTATAGTAAAAATATAGTTTCCGGTTTCGCGAGCCAGCAATTCCTTCTCAGGAAAAATGTTCAATAAATAAATGTCAAAGTTTCCAGTATATCCTCGTTACTCTGCCTCACTGGTACATAATTGAAAATGGGAAGAAGGTGCTGTTTGATTTGGCAGCCATCCAGCTCTTTTTTTGATGGATAGCCTACTCTTTGGGACAAAGCCCTACACCAGGGAACAGCGTTATTACCTTATAAAATCCTGCAGCCCACTCACTACTCCTTAATTGCATATTAAAGCAATTAATAAAATTACCTGTATGAAACCAGATTTATTTTAGGTTTGCTATCTTAATGTGGGTCATTGTTACTGGCCAGTATGGAAGAGAGGAAACTTTGTATGATTTACTAGAACACCTTAAACTGTTAACTTTCTGTGATCACTTTTGGTGTCAAATGTTGAGGTAGAACTTAGAGTCTACATAGTTCCAAGAGTTTTCTGATATAAAATTGGCTTTTGGGATAGGTGTAGCCTTGTCTTTGTTAGTTTTGGTTGTTATGCAATTTAGGGG